GTCAAAGACAAACTTCAGTGAATTCCTTTGGCAACAGCAAGCCAGCAAATTATTCCATACTGATTTAAAAATGCTCAGACATTAAGCTTTTTCATTTCCAAGCCATACTTTTAGTTGTGACTGTTGGAGTTGTATGTTTAGAAATTCTCTGTGTCTAATATGGTCAGCACTCCCAATTATTCACTCCACTGACAAGTGAAACAAATGGGACCAACCAGTGCATTCTGTATTATCTACACCCCTTGGATTCCCTGACAATAATTAATACAATGGCAAGCTGCTGTTACCAGCCCCGACGACATGAGCTCTACTCTACAACATAAGCTCTCCCTTTCCAAGAGCCCTTGAGAGGACATTACATCCAGCGCTGAGGTCACATACGTCGTGGCGACCGGCAGCTGGGTCATATCATACTGCTGTCTGTGAGCCTAGATCAGATAAAGATCCTATTGTAGGGTGCTGTTAACATCCCCAGGTTATTACTCACATCATTACACCATGAATGTAAGGTGCATGGAATATGTCAAGAATAATGTGAATGTAGCCCTGACCGTAGAGATATATAGAGCCTTTAAAAGCAAAGACTGTCCCATATATATATATCAGGGAAGTTCATTATTTTGTGATTTTACTGAAGCATTACTGCTGACCACCTCGCTGCTGTGGACACACACCATTATGTAGCGTTACTTCATTTGCTCATAATACATATTAACAGTATAACATTACCAATATATCATAGAAACCGCATATTGTCTTTGCAAGCAGTGTTGGGTATGTTAGATGTATATATGGCAAAAGAAACAAAATATACTCTTATGACAATATTAAATAAATACAGACAATTGTTTTAATCAACTGATCCACATGTCCTATTAGACTGTCCACAACACTATAAACAAATAAACTGAACTAAACATGTCCTATTAGAGAGTAGTCATGTAATAATAAGAACCCCTTTTATTTTAGCCTACGAGGATATTAACAGGTTTTTTTTTTAATTATAGAGGAGCACATTCTCCTAACATCCATTAAAGGAATGCCATGCTAATTTTAAATCCTCGCAGCAGGCATTTGCATCAACAGAAGAAAAGTGGATGAGTTTCTCTTTAACAGCTGTAATTTGTGTTTTCCAATCACCATGCTGATTTCTGCTCATTATACTCCGGTTTCACACCGGTAAGTGAGCAAAGTTTGGATTGATTGACTCTAATTAACTAAAAAATGTTCCAAGCCATGGATTTATTATCATGCTAGCTAGCCACAAATGTCAGAGACTTTCACAAATTATTATCCTGTTAAGATAAATATCTTTGAAATCAAATGAGTGTGGCAACACAAGGAACATGTATTGTTATACTGATGAATTTGCTTGGCATGTTTTCGTCGGAGTTCCACATTAAAGACTCACCTGGGCAAACACACTGTTCCAGTGTATCGTTAGGCAGTACAGTATGACTGAATGACAGATGCTGTAGTTACTAAAACTTTAAAAGGAACACACTGCCTAATACTGTACTAATAATGGACAAATACCAATGGGAATAAATAGAAGATGATGTTTTCAATTATTTTGTCAAAACTAAATGCTCTTCATAAGTTGAAAGATATTAAGAGCTATTATGGGAAATAGCGCCTGGCCTACTCTTTGTTAACAGAAGACCTATTTCCTCTTGTGGGCTCCAAAACTTGGCAGCATCTCCCTCATTGATATTTTAGACAGAGTAGCACCTCTCTCACTCACATTCTTTTCTTGACTTCATCGGCTCCATGGCTCAACTTCGCACTTCCTCATGAACAAAGACAGGATGGCTTGAGTGGACAGCTCTATATTTTTCCTGATTTCAAAAAGATCTCAAAACCACATTTTGGTTAGCTTGAGGAGACAGGATGTTGCTCTGATTCACTTGGCTTCACGTCAGCGATCAGAAGTAATCGCTGGAGTGAATCCAAATGAAACGGGCCCATCGTCTGCATGGTGGCGCCAGGCTGAAATTGAGAATCGTGCTGCCTGTAAATCAGATTTACCCAACATGTCTCTTGCAGAATCTACCTTTCTACGACAACTCTTCTAAACCAGCTTAGATGTATCACAGAACACAACAACACAGCGAGGCTAGTGTTGTATATCATCATACTGGGCAAAAAGCTTATAACATAAAAGGCTGTCAAGTAGTCCTGTCATTATTTCCCCAATCCACCCTTTTTAGAGGAGCAGCACTTTGAGCCACGCCTGCAGATACATTTGATGACATCCAGTTGTGGCTCACTTTCATTCATTCAGGGGATTGATTAGATGCAAAGAGAAGAGATGGGGTGGGGGGGACCTTCATTTGAGATATCGCATATAGTCTGTAAGAAGAATTAGACAGACTGAACATTTTTCTCTTCAAGGTGCTTTTGGAGATATAGTGGCACCATGCGAGCAGTCAATATGAGATTCTGCATTAATGCCATTAAACAGGCTGATGTAATATGATATAGTATGTTTAAATTCAAACAGAATAAACATACAACTTTGCACATAAAAGAGACTACATGTATAAAATAATCAACACTTGTATAGAAATGTATTTCTAATGTTTTAGTTGAATGAATAATAATAACCTCCTACTTAAGATTAAATGTAATGGCAATGTTAAGACACTAGTCTGGACCGCGTTGCAGTCAATGATGTCTTTCTAAGGTTGTTGTGTTCACACTGCCCCCTTCTGTCCCCACGAGTAGGAGAGGCATCCAGCGTATCAACACAACAACAGCATCTCTATCAACCACACTCAGACAGAACGAGAGGGCAAACCCATTTTTAGGAGCAGTCTAAAAGCATCGACCTTGACAGGATCAACAGCATGTGCACTCTTTCAAAAACCCTATGAACATTAGTATCTACCATCTATTCTCCACTATTCTTTTTTTATTTCTTGTTATACTAAAATATTTAATATGAGTCAGGAAATTGTTTTTTATTCAGGAACATTTCCACTTTAACTTCTAAAGTCTACGTGGAACAGGCCCTGGTGTTGTGTATCATTAGTATGACACTTGATGAAACAGGAATCTATTTTCTACGAGTATAAATGTGATTGAGTTAAGATTCCAAATTGAAAACAGTGTTTCCCCAGGGTTCTTTAGAAAGCCGGTGGATAGTGCGCACACAACCTCCTTTTCTGCACACTATTTACCCCTGGATTGCTTCAGGCTAATGTCTCAATAATTTTCACTCCTTTCTCAGGTCCTTCCCACAAAGGACTTAACTAATGATCCATGGACAAAATGAAGCATTTAAATTTATTCATTAATCATTCATCTCCAGCTCATTGAAAATGCTAAACTTCCACAAAATTAAGATTGAATATTGAAAAGTGATTGAGGGAGACAGCTCTCCGAGAGTGAGGAGAGTGGAGGGGGCTGCAGCGAGCGGTAACAAAAAAAGGGTCTTTTAGGAGACAGTGGTCCTCACATGGACATGGTCAAGGTGGCCAAGGTGTACTAAGTGCTAGTTAAGGTCACAGGGTTTCACTAGTTGTAATTAGATCTTGGAATCTGGAGAAGCGTAGAATTTCTGTCAACACTGCCTGTAATTATTCTCTTTTCCAATTAATGGTGACATAGATTAATTATCTGATGAGGCAAAGCCAATTGCAATCATTCACCCAGCTAAAATTAGATCAGTCCTGACAGCAGCATGAAAGTCACCTGTTTCATTGTTATGGATTCGCTGCAAGTAAAAAGGGGGGAATAGTGAAGCGTGCTAGGGTAAGTAAGTTGTCTGGTACAGGTAAATGTCCAATTACACTGCTGTTTGAGCTGAAGGCATCTACTCATTCGATCCTGGACCGGCTTGTTTGTTCACCCCGGCATCATCAGTGGTAGTAGAGTCATCTGTCAAGGACTGCAGGAACGCGGAGATGAGCTGAATTTCTGCTGACAACCCCTCCTGTTTGAATAACATGATGAATGAAAACAAGCTAATTAAGAAAATGCTGTTTTTGAGGAAAGGCAATAATACAAACTCCTCGCTCTATCTGCATCCGAGCTGATGGTGAGTCTACATTTGTGAAAGTAAAGTTACCATCTTGTTCTTATTTTTGTAAGTGAGGAGAACAAGAGGCTCCTGGTGAACCGTGTCCAGGTTCAGTGCTCTTCTGTTTTAAAAACCTCAGCATCCAGTTTTTCTATTAAACTGCCTGGCACTGTCAACCAGCTTGGGAATCTGAACCGGCCTAGCCATGCAGAGATTCTCTGACTAACAATTATATCAGAAACAGGATCTTGGATTACAGTCCCCTGAGACTGGAGCAGTGGGCGTCTGCTCCAATCATTACTGGCCATTCAACAAGGCTCTGCACTGCTCTACGCTGTTAGCCATTGTCAATTATGCCATCCCTAGTGTAAACTCGCAGAACACAAAGCTGAACTGCCAGTTCTGGCAGGAGTGTAACAGGATGACAGCCCGCCGCACCCCCCCGCCCCAGCACTACCCCCACCCACTCCCACTCGCCCACCCTAGGGTTTCCCGGCCTTCTTCCCCTCAAGCTACTTTTGTACAAACTGCCATTTGGCTTGTGATTTGAGCACGCCTCTGCCGTGAAAGCGCTAACCTGACCTTTCTTACGTTCTGCTTGTGGGGTTAAGTGGACATGATGGATTAGTATGGGCCTCGTCGGGATTCAGCCGGGTTCAGCTCCAGTCAAAAGTGGCATCAATCACATTGATTTCTTTATCTCTCTCTTACAAAGAGGCAATATTGATAATCTACATATCATGTAAATGTAAATATCTGTGTATAGTAATGACCTACTGCATTATCACTTTCTGCGTACTGTCAGTGCATTTCTCTGTGGATCATAAGATCACATTAAGGGCTAAATATCTAGGTAATGATGCAGATTGTGTGCTTATGCTTGCGCATAAGGGCTTTTTTTTTTTTTTTTTTTCTCATAAAAGGTTGTACTTTTTGAAGGATAGCCGCTGAGCTGGACTGTTCAGGAGGAGCCTGTTTAAAGTGAGTGTTGCCTGCTCTGATGGTCCCTGTGCTGAGCTGTGACGGGTGACGGTGTGGTGCGCTTGAATACCCCAGCTCTTTTGTCCTTCACACTCTGCAGCGCTCTGATAGCTCCTCCCCCTGTGCCCCACTCCTCCCTGCTTTGAGCTGTGATCTGCTGGGGCCTTTTGAGGCTGGGCCACTGAGACATGGCTGCTCCCTGTAATGTCTGGGACCAGACCAGTCAGAAAAACATGTCAGCCGTCAGAGTAGGAGGAACAGAGAGGGAAACCACTTAATAGTTCTCTTCACAAGGCACCTGGAAAACATCTAATTAAATTCAGCATATTTTGCCTCCAGCATAGATGATAAAGTCACATTTATCTAAACAACAAAAGTAAAATAAGGGAAAGCTGATTGCAACATGGTGAAGCTAGAGGTCTGGGATGCCCTGCTATTGAGGTAAAAAGAGTGGAAGTGGTTCACGGAATGGTTACATGACACCTGGCTCTGCGGTAATGCTGGACAGGACATTTCATAACGATTCATCACTGTCCCTCTGTCCGCTTTGACCTCATCTCACATCACAGCACAGATTAGACACCGATTATCCTCTAATTGAAGATCCTTACTTTTCAACCTTGCCGCTACTCTTCTGCAAGACGGACAGAAGGTTACTCTGTTCGCAAAGAAGAACACAGAACTCTTCCATGCGGTGTAAAAAAACTCACTCTGAATTAGCTTGGAAGTAAAAAAACACAACAGGAAACAAGCTAAGATGTTAATGCAATGTGACCAAAAACAAAGTGTTTTGTATATAGAGTTGTCTAGAGGGGCTAGTCTCAGACACGGGGGTCACTGCAGAGGCACTGTAGCAGACACACCATCCATCAAATCAGCCTGTGATCTGATAAGTGAATGTATAGACCCTAATGTAACAGTGGTGTCTTTAACTCCACCATAGCAATGAGGCACAAAGCCCTGGTGGATGTTTGCCTGGCTGCCCTTGCTTGGCAAAGAAGACACAGGGTGACTGTGACTCGCCGGATGAGGCTCAAACAATGCCATGCATAACACGGAGTTACTGTAGTATGCAAAAGAATACGCTCATATCCGGGAGAATACCTTGAGACTGGGATAAAGTTGAATAGAGGGATTTACCATCTGAATGAATGGTGACAGTTTGTGCAGCATTCCAGCAGTTTTAAATGTATATGTACAAATACCTGGGCTGTTTTTATTTTCCGGTTGGTGTCTTGAGAAAGAGCCTGGCACCGGTCCAGTTCAGCCTGGCTGTACAGGCTGTGTTGTTTGAAGTTTTTCACCAAAGCTTTGTGCATCCTCTTCTGCAACAAAGAGAGCTAGGGGGAGAGAAGGCAGAGAAAAGGAATTGGTAAGGCAGGAGAGGAAATTAATGGCAGTGTTCAAGAAGAATGATGGAGGGGAATAGAGAAAGCAGTCAATAGCCCATTCTGCAGTACACGGGCCTGACAGGAATTTCACAGTCTCTTGGTTTCTCTGCCCACTCGTGTGCACTCATCAGAATCCAGTCACATCTGGCTGCCAGGATGGGGGGTTAATTTTCTCTAAATGCTTCAGCAGTTTTGTTCTAGCCGAGGCAAACTCTGTGACTGCAAAGCTGATGAGTAAAATATTTCTACTTCACCCAGTTTAACTTTATACCAATCCCCTCAAGACATATTTTACACATACACACAGAGTCATGAACCCCCCACTGAAACCAGAAATTATTCCTAGTCTCTTGGAAAGACATGCTGCTTGCTTTATTATTTGAACACAGTTTCAAGCAAAGAGGTTTAAATTCTGATAGATGCCATTGCTTTTCTTCCCCCTCCATCTCTCTACTCTTCCTACAAAGCTTATCATTGCTTGGCAATGTGTTCCCCAGTGCATTGAAAACTAAAGCGAATTAGCTCAGTCATCAGCTCCTGAAGGAAAGACAATAACAAGAATGCTCTTTATGGTGTACCCTGTTAAAATCCATGAGCTGAAAGCCTCCACATAAACAAAGAAACGTTACAACATACAGTAGAATCAAGAGGATTTCTAGAAGAGGCACATATTGGCAAATGTTATCAGATGCTCGTCATCATGCACTTTTTTTAAATGTACATATTGTATTTGTCTTTCCACTTCATTGTTTTTTAATGTGTTCATACTTGTTTAATTTATATATGAAATAGCTTGATGTTTTTCAACATTCTGTCTTATTCAAAGAAAAACTACTATCTCTAATATAAGATAAACCAGGTGTTATGTGCCTTGATTGATAATTAATAAATGGGTTAGTAAAACAAGACAAACCTCTAACACTTCAAAAGTACAAGGCCTTCAAATACCAATTCAACATCTCAAATATGTGAAATTATCTGTATTTGAAATACAGTATATCAAATGTTTAATACACTTTTTTTGTGTTATCTGATAAGACAAGATTAGATGGACCTTTATTTATCCCCCTAGGGAAATTCCGGTGTCATAGCAGCAACAGAATTATATATCTAATATCCCATCTATTACGAAAGAATATAGAACAATATATTAAAATAAAATAGTACTTATATAAATCTATTAAGCAATGTCCATGATTGTTGCTGTGCTGCACCTGTAGGCTGCTGGGTCACAACTGTAATAAATAAGCTCCTGTTGATGGAGAATACATAAGAAAATGCACAAAAATTTAATTATGTAAGTATTATAATGAAGTAATGGTATGTTGTTTTTCATATTACTTAAAGTAAAGTTATTATTCTACATTAGAATTGCCGTAGGAGTGCTTTAGTGCTATTATACTCTTGGATAATTATGACTGATGCATTCAATGGAAGTAGCACTATATCGTGGTGGAGCTCATTTTGACTATTGAAAAAACAACTGGTAGTTAAATCTAAACCAGTGCATTTTGAATAAAGGGTGAGTGTGGCATTGGCTTGGAAAAGTAGAAATTATATGAAGACATTTCCAAACATATTCTAAATGTTTTAGGTCTCGCAGTTTTTTTTGCATTGCTTTAGATGCAAAAGGAAGGAAATGTATTTACTGGATAATAGTCTAAATCTAACCGTACATCATGTCAGTTTATGTGTTGCTTTGTAGTCGTCTTGAAAGCTTAGTTTGGGTTGTTTTAAACTTGTCACTTAAACGTTATGTCTGGAATGCCTGCTGTCAGGATTATACTTCAAGGATTCGTAAGAGATGTTTTTACTGTGTCCCTCACATGTATATAATAACAGATTATGGGCTGTGTCACACACATGCACTAAAGTTCTGATCTCTCCAATGATCCTGACAATGTTAAATGCATTTACCTTGTTGCCTCCAGTTCCACACAAATCAATTAAGGGTAATCACATTTAGTAATATATGCACTAACTGGGACATACAATTCAAAGATTATTCTTTAAATTAGAAACAGGAAAGAATGGTGATTAAATGTTCCTGTCCAAATCTGATTAAATGTGATCTACATTTCAGAAACATTGTTGATTATAAGCTTGTTATAAAAACTAAATTCAGGCATTAAACACTAGCCGAGAGGCTGCTGTTATAGGAGTGTAGAGTTGAAACAAACAAATGGTGAAGGCTGAATCCGGAGTAAAAGAAAATCAGGCTTTGATCATGAGCGTGGAAAATCCTGTCCACAGGATTTTATTTTTGCATGCATTTTTCACTTGATAACATTCATGCAGTTAGATGAGGAATTGCTCAAGTAAAGGTATTAGTCATTTGTGGAACAAATAATATGAATTTTTCATTGCAGAAGCAGTGTGGCTTCTTTCTGCCGTTATGCCTGTCATGTGTAATTCTAATCCAGTTAAATAGTGTCAGAAACTATAAAGATTAAACACTAAGATGCTGCTGAGGTGTCTCCCTCAACTAGTCAAGATTGTGTGAGCTATTTTAGCACTAAAGGCACTTTCATTGTCTGATCCTAACCTTTGTTTGCTGCTAATCCCTAACCAATGGTGTGTGTGTGTGAGCACATTTGTAAAGCCCGATGATAAAATGTTTCACTTGTGACCACCTTAGAAAAAGTATAATCAAGAAAATGTGAAAAGGTATAGCATTAACATGTACCATCAACCTCTCTATGTACTCCCCTTGGATGCAAAACTACATGCTATCATTACATTATGTCACATCCATCATCCTCCTCCACTCAAGTTATCTCATCATTATTAGATTGCTGCCGTTACCTCCTCACTGGTTGCCAAACTAAAATCTTCTTAAAATGACTGCCCTTGCAAGAAAAGTGATCTAGTGCAAAGAAGAATAGCCTGGTATTGAGAACAGAGGAAAAATCCTAAGTCATAAAACATAATTAAAAAGAGAGGGGGCGATAGTAAACATCAGAAAAGGTTATATATACTGTACCTGTGTGTAATAATGAAAGGATTTATGTGCATGGTTTTTCTTGTTCAATGCAGACACTGCCTCTTGTTTGGCCTCCATGAGGATCTTCTTTAGATCTTCGTACTCAGTGGCCAGCTGTCTGTTCTCCTTCAGGGACAATTGTAGTGCTTCCTACACACACAGGGAACAAAAGTTCAGATAAAATGGTTCATGTCAATAGTATGTTTACAGTAACTTTAGAATAACCACTAAGAAACAAGCAGGAATGGGTTGCAGACCAATATTGTAACTATTGTCATTGTGACACCCAACAATGTCAGTGGTGACATCCTCGCACCCCTGATTCGGATCAGATCTGCCAGTTTTTCCCCAAAAAACATTTGTGCTTCTTAAATCTTGCTTTGTGAAATGCTCTCAAAGCTTTTTACCAATGCTTACATGAGACCAGGCGTCGCTGTGGTGCTAAAAAGTTAGCACCACCTAAAAGTTGTGTGATCAAACTAATATAACTAATATGAAAAGCTTTGAATTTTAGGACAAAAAAACAGAAAACATATTTAATTTGGATCAGTAACTACAAGGTTCTTTGATCCGATTAATAAGTATGGTAGCAGCTCTGCTAGCCTTATGTATTGTACCTTATTTGTGTATCCCTAAATGTGTGTACTGTCATGCAATTACAGGCTGTATTTAAAGGTGGGGTAGGGAATTCACTTCAGAAACACTTTTTGTTATATTCCATGGAATGCTCTTAACATCCCGATAGCAATGAATACATTAAATGCTTTGACAATAAATACATTAAAAAAAAATCATCTGTGGAAGCCGTAGCGCTGTAACAAGCACGACCAATCATTTTAGCCGGCCCGGCTAAAATAACTGGATGGCCTACCTGCCTGTCAGCCTTCCATCTGTGCACAAACTTATCTCGTGCCCTCATTGGTCTGTAAGGAAGTCTGAAGGAAGTGGCAGATTTTTTCTGGTTGTGTACTATCAAATTCTAGCGCACTCAAGCTGGTTTCTCCATTCTTACCTACCCTACCTTTAAGTGCTGTGTGACTTCATTAGTGTTGATATGTCTACTGAAGGGACGTTGTTATCAATAAATCAATGCAGAGTTGATTATTCTGGGCAGGACTTTTGGTATCCCTAATTGTCACTAATTTACTGAAATTAAAACACAATTGGAACCAGTGACCTGTTTCACGTAATGTACATTTTTACAATTACAAACATCGGCATTTAAAAATGGATTTGTTTCTAGTTTGATGATCAATTCACGGATTTGTTCGAAGTAAACCACAGCTACAGTATGCTGGCAGAACAACTGCTGAGGCAGCACATTGTACAGTGCAGATATAAAAAACATGAAGAAAGATTACATAGATCAATGTTTCCTTGACATCCAAGTGAAGGAGTTCAAGTATCTCGGGGTCTTGTTCTCGAGTGAGGGAACAATCGAGCGTGAGATGGGCCGGAGAATCGGAGCAGCGGGAGCGGTACTGCAGTCGCTTTACCGCACCGTTGTGACGAAAAGGGAGCTGAGCCAGAAGGCAAAGCTCTCTGTCTACCGGGCCATTTTCGTTCCTACCCTCACCTATGGTCATGAAGGATGGGTCATGACCGAAAGAACGAGATCGCGGATACAAGCGGCCGAGATGGGTTTTCTCCGCAGGGTGGCTGGTGTCTCCCTTAGGGATAAGGTGAGAAGTTCAGTCATCCGGGAGGGACTCGGAGTTGAGCCGCTCCTCCTTCGCGTCGAAAGGAGCCAGTTGAGGTGGTTCGGGCACCTAGTTAGGATGCCACCTGGGCGCCTCCCTAGGGAGGTGTTCCAGGCACGTCCAGCTGGGAAGAGACCAAGGGGTAGACCTAGGACCAGGTGGAGGGATTATATCTCTTTGCTGGCCTGGGAGCGCCTTGGGATCCCCCAGTCAGAGCTGGTTGATGTCGCCAGGGAAAAGAAAGTTTGGGGCTCTCTGCTGGAACTGCTACCCCCGCGACCCGACCACGGATAAGCGGGAGAAGATGGATGGAAGGATGGATGGATGGATGGATGGATTGTTTCCTTGACATGTACAGATACCCAAGAACATATGCTACTGTATTATAAAGAGAACTGGAGAGTCAATATACAGCACATACTGTACAGTAACAGTACATAACCATGTAGAAAGATACTTTAATTGTACCACATGTGTGCGTATAATACAAATATTCTTTCCGTGTTTGTTCTATTAATTAATATAGCATGGCAATTTAAATAGCGTGGATACAACAGTGGACATTTCTCTGTGAAATCAAGCATATAAATCAAAGTGAGTCTGTGCCTCTCCACATGTCATCTTCTCATTTGAACAATGTTCCCCAAGTAGTGCAAATGTTGCTGGTGAATATCTCAACTCTACCTGCAGACATAATGAAGTGTGTCTCTGCAGTAAAACAGAACAGCACTAAAGTGATGAGTTTAACCCAGCAGAAAGAGGGGCTGTAAACATGACAAATGCCTGCTATTGATTTCAGGTTTAATTACTCCATGCAGCACTGACAAAGCCCATCTGATGCTGTTGTGAAGTGTAAATGGAACAAATTACACTTCATTGCCCATAAGAAACTGATAGCGTCGGCAGTTTGCGTTGTTTACTTTGTGCTCGCCATACGACAAGGCCTGATCAAATTAAAAAAATAGGGGCATGTATGAAAGACGGATTCCTCAACCTTTTTCCACCTTGTTATTCTATCCTTGTAAAGAATCTTCTGCGGTTTGTATTTAATAGAGCCAAAGAGTAATTCCTATCAGGCTATTAGCTTTACTGACCCGCATTAGTTTGTATAGAAAAGAGGAGCTGTGACCTACAGGAGATTATAAGAGTATAGTATTGGATCAGCAGAAATCTCTTCTGTAAGAAATACCCAAAATAGTCTAACCATTCTGCTTCATGCACTGCGGCTCCTGAATGCACACTCTGCTTATTATGTTATGCTAATGCAGACATTATGTGTGCCTTACATTGGTCTCAGTGATTAAAGTGACCAATTTCCCTCGAACCCCACACTCTCGCTGATATTTGTATTTGGTTCAGGAGCATTGTTGTTGTATCATCTTATTTCGTCAAGTGAAAAGACTAAACCCCTTTTTTGCATGACTAACTTTTATCTGGCTAATGGGAGTTGTGTCTATGAGGAAGACTTCTAATTCTTAAATTGTCTCACGCCAACAACTTCTTTAAAGTTGTTGCACTTGGATGCATGGCGGCTTAAGCTCCATTGCCTTTTCTTGTTTTGAACTAATGCATTCTTGATCACCGTTTAATGAAACTATATACCACATGGCGATTTCACATTAGATAAGCCATGTGAAACCCCCATCAGCAAAGAGGCTCTGGCTGGGGCTGATAATCCTGCAGATGAAAACCTTACAATAAATAGGGTTTCTCTCACAAAGGAGTGTTCAAATACGTGCCATTTTGTGCAGAGGGTGCTTGTGTTTTTTACATAATGCCTATTGCTGCCATTAATATGAAAGGGTACAGATGATATGCTTATTTCATATTGTTCACTATATGCTTAGATTGAAATTGCTATTGTTGTCCTACAGGTAACAAAACAGGAACAGCATCTCACAACGACACGCATCATCAAATTCGTCCAGACAAAAGCCTATGACAACAGTGAGTTGTCATTTGTGGGAAAAGCACTTAAACAAGATTGACCATGGCTTGTAATTTTAATTGCACACAGCTCTTTTCCCTGCATCTTAAGGGAAGTATTGTGACAAGCAATGTGCTGACACTAATCCACAAACAAATAAACAATGAGGTACTTTTTTTGAACCGCTTGTCTCTGATTTCACAGTATGTGACACACAAAAAGTTGTGTATTCACAGAAAGCATTTTGTTACCTTGGTGTCTTCCATTTCCTTTTCTCTTGCTGTAACATGAGCAGTGTGTGTCTGCATGGATCGCTGTGTTCGTTGTTGGCAGTTATTAATATCAGACTGCAATGTGCTCATTACGAGCGCAGCTGATTTGTTTTTGAATTCCACCACGTCAAAAACACTTCTGGAAGGAGGAATCAAAGCCGTAAGAGGATATTATTTTTCTAGAATGAGTTTGAATGTAATAAATGTACGGTAACAGCATCAGTGGGGAAGCTGGTAGAAATTTAGACTCAAAGCAAGACGATGATTTAAGAAATACTTCGATGTAGTCACATATAAATGATAAAACATATGAAGAAAAAAGCTGATATAGTCTGATATTAAAGAAATACTGAGTATTCTCCAACGATAACTAACTTACTGAAGTTCTTCTATGACTTCTGGCATGTCTTCGACTGTTTTTTCCATTTTCTCCGAAGCATCCCGGTATTTATCCCTCTTCTTTGTAAGGTCAGTGATTCTGCCCAGGGTGTCGTCATATCTCTTTACAGTGGCACTGTGTAAATCCTGAAAATACACACTTTCATTAATTCTGAAAGACACCTTTTTATAGGTAGCTCAGAGTGAGACAATATTTAGTTGCAGATTGAGATGATCCATATCAATGACACGCTTTAGGCTCATTGAGCTTTAAAATGTAAACCTGTTGCAACTGTTTGACTCAAGAGGAATTTTCTTTTCTTACCTGAGCCGCTTTCAGGTTGTCACATTTGAGTTTCTTCTCCTTCTCAAGGTTGACTAAAGTGTTCGAGTGTTCACATTGAGTCTTTTCTAAATGGTCTGTCAATTGCTTGATTTTCTATACAAAGAAAAGATGTTTCACAAATTAGGTATACCCTTTTACATACATTTCTTTCTTTCCATCTTTATCATTACCTCAATTTTTGTCTCCATTTCCTTTGTTGTTGTGGATGCTTCTTTCAATTCTTTCTGAAGCTTTTTGTTAGTAATCTCTGAATTCCTTTGCTGTCGACACAATTCGTCACTTTTAGTCGCACACTGACCCTGATGCAAAAAAGGCAGACACTCATTATCTTAAAGTCTTAAAACATTTACAGGGGAAAAAAACAGTAACAGAGAATGTGAAAAGGAAAGTATAAAATGATGAATACAGCCGGGCATTTAAAACTATCTTTATGAAACGTATAATGTGCAGTTTTTATTGAGACTGTGCTTTGTGAAGCTTCACTTCTTCATATATTTTATCATAGCTATATTCTCCTGTACAGAAACTGAAAAAGTTAGCAAAAATACAGAGGTGTATATTGAAGATTTCAATGTACATTTGTCGATACATGTTTATCCTCGTGAATTTACCTTCAGTAGCTCCACTGCAGTCATCTGACCTGTCAGATCTTTCTTTAGGTTTTCAATCTCTTTCTGTAAAGCACAGAGAGAGCCCTGAATAACACTGAAGGAAACATTCAGTATCTCACACTCCCCTTTACAAACCATGACCCATGCAGTATACATAGAACATGTACATATGTTTCCACTGACCCTGGCCCTCTGTTCTTCCGTGAAGGTGATCTTCTCCTGCACCTCCAGCTTAGCCTGGGTGACACTGTGGTCGGCTACAACTTGGGTCACTTCCTCCTTGGCCTTTTCCCACTGCTCGTCATTGTCAATGATTTTCTGGAGCATCTGCTTTCTCTCCTCATGCATCTGCTTCACTGCCTTCACACTAACAAAAATAACACTGATAAGTAACGGTAAAAACTAAAACAGGATGTTGTATTTATTCTGCACTTTTGGGGATTTGAAGCTCTACCTGTCTGTAATGTTTATCTTGTAGTCCAACACATTCTGTTCATACTCCATGTTTTCTTTACGAAGAGCTGCAAAAGCATTACGTTTTGAATGGAGCTGCTCTTCTGTGCAGGAAACCTCTGCTTCCCCATGAAGTCTCTGTGGATAACGTAACATACAGCGGGCCGCTGAGTGGATGCACTTATCCAAAACGCCTTACAGTGCCATGAATTCAAACATTATTAGCATGCATAGCTCCAGTGAGAGTCCAATCATAGTCTGGCGGTTATGTTTCATGCTCTACCGAAATGAACTATCAAGACACACATAAGGGGACTAAGCAGCAACATTAAATGGAAATGGACAGTTTTCCTGACATGATTTAAACACTGCTGTAACAATACTTACAGTTCTCTCCATGTCTTCTTGCAGTGCGATTATCTTCTTTTTAAATTTGTTATTCTTTCGCATTTCATCCCCAATCTTAAGTTTCAACTGCAAAATCTGTTTTAAAAAAGGTGACACAAACCACTTTTGTAAGCTGTTGATACATCCTTTAGATTTTTAAATATTAAAAATGTAAACAATATCAGTTACCGTGTCTGTTTCAGTTTGCTCGAGCTCCATTATTTCAGGGGTTCGTTTTGTTAAGGCTGCACACTGTTGTTCTGTAACTGCAATGGAGTTTTCAGCGTCCTGTATTTCAGCACACAGACCTTCATCAACCTTCTTTAACTGCTTTAGATCTTCCCTGGAGAGAAAAACTGAATTCTTTATCTTTCATTTTAAGGTTTAGGAATCACAAATGCGTTCATAATCAGGGTATATGCAGGAATCCTGAAGTCAAATTTAATACATATAAGACCTTTTTTAAGACCCTTTCCATACATTTTAAGACCTCATCGCCACTTGGAGTTCTAACCGGTTACATTGGCGACACACTTTACCTCACATTGACTATATACAGTATTGATTGTCCTTCCTCCTTATCTTCCAACCATTTGGACGCAAACTTGCATTTCCCCATAACGCTGTTGTTTAACAACCGGCGTAAACGGACCTTCGCGCGCTATCAAGCAGTGAGCGTGCGATGTCCTGTTCAGATGACGTCACATCCAACGGGATGCCATCAATAAACTACACAGAATCACACTACACACCTACGCAATGATTACATTCAGGCAGACTGTAGAATACAACCTCTTTGGACCATTTATATACTTATTGAAAACTAGCTACAAAATGTAATACCTTGGAAAATGCCGTTTAATACTTTTTAATAGCCTTAATTTTCAACTTTTAATACTTTTTAAGACCCCGCGGACACCCTGATAATACAAAGCTGTCATAAGATATTGAATAGTTAGGGGGCTCACAATAATAATGATAATAATGCTTTTCCTGGTGCTCAAAGCGATTTCACGATATATTGCAAGAGAGTCATCTACAACAGAATGATCACTGTTAAACTGAATAGTTCATTCATTCATTTAAAAGGTGTTTTTGAACAGAGCAGGAATACAATCTATATGTTTTTTTTTACACTTGATATAAAATAAGACTTTAATAACATATAAGTGCAATATTTTTATATATCAGGACACCTATATTTGAATAATCTTTCAATGTTAAATGACTGGTTAGGTCCGTTACAATGAGACTTGTTATCCGCTAATGCAGCATCAAGCAGAAGTATTGTTGTTGCTATGGTAACGTGCAGTTTAATATACCTTGCAGACTGATTTAAAGCAGTGGTTAAACTGTTGACCATATCTTGATTTGAGGTGTCCTGCCTGCCAGACTGAAACCAATCTTTACAGGAGGATGATCAGGAAAGCTTTCAATAGGAATTACATTTAAAATATGTAATGTCTGTATGGTAATTTAAGCAAAAGAGATTTAAACAGTTGACTTTGTTTCCCCTGTAACTGCCTTTGTACTTTGATACAACCTCAAATAAATGAAGAAATACACAGGAATAAACCTAAAAAAATCTAAAATAACAGAAGCAATTCCACTATTTTAAAGTAAAAGTCACCAACGATACTGAGCGTATAAGCTTTGTATACCCTCACATTGCACTTGTTGACGATTTTAAAAGATGTGTCCCGTCTCAAATGTCCTACATTGATTGTAAACTAGTTTGTTTTCCCTGCAGTCAGGATTGATACTCACAATCTGTTAGCGAGCTGATTCTTCGTCGCCAACAGTATATTATCCAGTGATATATTTTCCTTGTTGGCGTCCTGCTCCATCTTTTTTAATTCCCTCTGCACAAGTGTGAGATCATTTTGTGTTTCGGAGTAAACTTCATCAGCCTTAAAAAGAAGGAAGGAATCGTTGAGTTTCCTCAGATGTTATTATGTCAGAACAATTTCATAAAGGTACCAATATTAAAGATAACACATAATCCGATTATCACATCATACTCCTTATCCAAACGTTACACTTTGAACCAATAACCACATTAGGCATGTTAAATGCCACGAAAATGCACTAAGAGCGTTTGGCTATTTGCTGACTCTTTTTTTGTTATCCATTTCAATCAATCAATCAAAACACAATATTAACCCCAGGGGAAATAAGTGACAGCTGCAGCATATTAGAATACAATAGATAAATAACTATATAAACATAAGTTGAATTAAACATATGCAATAAAAGCCCTTGTAGCCACAGGGGAAACAGCACACATTTGATTGCTTGGTTTTAGTGTGCAGTATTTTTTTTTTTAACTTGTCTGGTTTTTTATAATATTTTTCTTCATTATAACATAAAGCATTTTTTAACTACACCCCTTAATAAATTGTGCAAAATCAATAAAACCTTTTTGTATAGGTTTATTTGTTGTAATTCAACAACAAACAGGTCATTTGTTCTTTTGGAGTCTGTCTGTTGTTTCATTTGAAAACATAAAAACAAACATTAAACTGGTTTCAATTCCAAATGGACCCCTTTGTATCCTAAGCATCACTCTTATCTCTGTATACTTTCATGCCATATTTTCTTTATTAAACATATGTGGCATTCAGCATGAAACACAAAGTACAGCTGAGGCGAAATATGGTCATTTAATTTTGATGCATCCTGACATGAAGGAAATAAATGATGGAGGAGAAAAGCTAAATGAAAGTCAGGGAATTATCAAAGTTATTAGGATTCGTCCTCAGGGGAGCATGAATGGCTGCACTACATTTCATGGCATTCCAGTCAATTGTTAAAATGGAATGATTTCACTGAACGAATGTGCCGGACGGACACTGGACCAATAGACCAACAAACATTGCAATCCCAAGTGCCATGCCACTTGTGGATTAAAAATAGAGCTAAAAAAGGGCGAGTGGGTGAGTGAGATAGAGCTAGGAAAAAGCAAACCTAAACATTTATCTTTTTTATCGTGGTTACTTTTCTATCTAAAAAATATAGCTGAATTTGCTTTTAGTACTTGTCTTTATAGAACTACTACCAAAGACAGATATTATTCACACTGGTAAACCCGAGTACCTAGACTTTGGGTTTGAAAACAAAACAATTTCTCTTGTTTAAAGTAAGAAATGTAACTATAGGTTACCTCAGCTTGTGCGATGTTGATTTGTTTGATGATGCCTCTCTGGAGTTCTAGGTTTTCCTTCACAATGGGTGTTTGTTTTTTAGCAAAGTGTATGTCCTCGTGTAAGCTCTGGTTACAAATCTCAGTGTGTGAAAGTTTCTCCTGGGCTTGGTTAAGTTGTTCTCTTTCCAGTTTAAGTTGCCATTTCAGTGCAGTGATGTCTTTAATGCAAGCCTCAAGCTCTGGAAAAAATTGTGAAGAATTTCAAAGTCAATTAAATGATTTGAGGAACATCATCAGAACCCTGTAAGGAGATGATACCTCACCTCTCAGGCGCTTACCTTTTTGCACTAGAAAAGCGAGCTGTTGTTGTTTCCATAGTGAGATGCTGTTAACTTTGTTCTCCAGATATATTTTTCTTCTCTTCTCCTTGAGGAGAGCTTCTTCTGCGTCCTGCCGATCAGCCTCCAGCCGCTCGATCAGATACACAACCTCTCCAAGGACATCATTTATTTTCTTCAATAATGGCGATAAAGGGCAACTTTCTAGAGGACGATGAACTTCACAAGATTGGCACATTGTTTTGATTTGCATAATTAGTTTCAACTCAATAAACAAAAGCAAAAATAATTGAAGACATTTTTGTAAAGCTAAGTTAAAACAATCTGTCCTAACAGGGTAATCTATGGTATTCTACTAGCTAATGGAAGTAATAATAATAATAATAATGCATTTTATTTATGGGCGCCTTTCAAAGCTCTCAAGGACACCTTACAGAGCATAATTAAAAACAAGAAACAAAGAAGATCAAACTAAAACAACAATCAGTTTAGAAGAATTAAGATATTGAATACGCCAGTTTAAAAAGTACATACTTGATGGTGTCTAATTTATACATTTTTAGACAAAATATGTGAACTAATATCTCAAACTGGTTAAAATAATTGTGAACTCATAAGCCACAACTGCAATAAAGACCTAAAGCTAGAGTTTCTCCAAGGATGTGCACACAGGAAAATATATCAGAAATGACTTATTGCACTTTAAAAAGAAAAAAGGGATTCACCTCTTGCACTTATTGCGATGCCTTCGACGAACAACTCTGTAGACGTCACTGAATCAGTATCAGAGTCTCTGGACTGAAATCTGTTAAAAAAGGAGTTAAACGAATGTCATGCTTCTAGTCCCTGAAACTCAAATGTAAAAAAATGAAAACAGAAGAGGACCTAACCTTAAAGCTTTGTTGTAATTGTGTGTGTCTTGATCAATCAGATATTTTCCAGACTGGAAAGACAGACGGGGGAAAAACACTTTTAATTCGATTTGAAGTCCATGCTGATGATATTTGTCTTACAATCTCTTATATCTGATCACAGCTGACATCAGTTTACCTGTTGAAGCCAATTCTCCACTGTGATCTTCAGCTCTTGGACATGGTAAATAGCACGGTTGACACATGGCGAGGGACTGTTGAGCAAGGCACATGTGCGACGTCGACCAGAGCAGACGCCTTGGAGGTCTGCTTGATCTTGTGAAACAGAAAGATCTGTACATTTAAGTTAATAATAATTGCTTTCAGAGAATCAATGAAAAGCCAACCACACATCCTGATATCCTTTACATAATGGCACAAAGCCCCGGAAATATATTATAAACAACACACTGATGAACCATTACTTGATGAAAGGAAATCAGAACACAACAGACATTTGTTGAAACAAATATTTGCCCTAGTTCAGTAACTTTATTTAGAAAAGTAATTAGACAAATGTATTTGGCTGTGAAAGATGTTCTGTGATTCTTTACTTTCTCTTTGATTCTGGTTGCATAAACTCTGCAACATATTGGAAGCATCAGGGAGAGAGCAGATAACTCATTTGAACATCTCGAGACAAACCCAAGGGTACGATTCTTAGTGGGGAAAGGACGCCATCTGGCTGATAGAAGGGGTACAAATGACTCGATTCACATCCTAGTCTGTTGTCCATATTATAATATAATCACATGTTATGTTCATTATCTAAAATCAACCTTTGGGTAAATTCAAAATAGTGAGGATTACTGAACACCAAGTTCATTTCAGTGGTTGATTCAGCTCTCTAAACTGTATATTAGTTTAATATTGGGTATGCGAATGCTACCACAAAAACGACTTTTAATTCAGTCCCTGAATGATGAATTCAAAAGCAATGATTTAGTATAAAGCTATAGCCACAATTAAGTCATGCATACATTATGTAAAACGGAGGTGATCTCTTACTTTGATTTCTCAAAAATGTATGTACAATTGAATTTGCGTTATACATTGTTAAGTAGATAACAAGGGAGAAAATCGAAAATAGGAAACAACCACAAGTATTAGATCATTGTTAGTTTACATTTTAATGACCATACAGTATAACTCCCAATAGTTAACAACAATGTACATTATACTATGATTTATCCCTTCTTTGTCATATGTTGTAGGCTGCAGTGTAAGATAGCAGGTAAGATGGAGGTGATTTTCTTTACTGCAGGAGAGAAAGGAAAATAGATTGTCATAGTAAGCAATGCATCTTTATGAATTAAATTAACTTATATCTGCTCCCTGATCTCTCTGCGAATTGAAAATACTTATTGCCTGAGATCGCATGCTGTGGTTTTATTAAATGTGCCAAGTACTAGGACTGTCTTAGGGAAGAAAGCTTTTAGATGTGCAGCTCCACTAACATGGAACAGTCTTTAAAAAGAATGGAAAATTACCAAGCTAGTACCACTACATGTTTTTAAAGCTCGGTTGGATGCTACAAAATCAGATGCTGTTGGTACCTGTACATGTGGTTAAATATGTAAATTGTAATCCCTGTACATTTTGCTGTATGATGTCCTTTTGTTGTTCTGTTGTTTATGTTTTTATGTCTTCTTGTGGAACCTACTGCTGCAGGTCTCCCTTGAAAAAGAGATCATTGATCTCAATGGGATTTTACCTGGATAAATAAAGGTTTTGAATTGAATTGCACATCATTTCGAGTATTTTATGAGGTCCAAATGTATGCTGTCATTTTCCAGATGTGTATGTATATCTTAAATTGTCACAAGGGGAAGTGTGACATACACCATGAGGTCATTATACACCTGTATCATAAAAAGTGTCATAATCTGGTGTGTGGGGATGACAGAGAAAAATAAATTGGTCACAAACTGCATGTGAGACTGTTGAACCTTTTCCCCCTGAGATAGCAGTTATCCCTCCATGATGATCCATTAATTAGAACAATGCTTAGAGAGAGAGAGCTGACTCAGACCCATACAAGAACAATGGAGGAAAAACTGAGGGGAGACCCTAAATGAGGGCCATCTGTTGCAGAGCAGTTTAGATGACTAATACACAATGAAAAAACCAAGTGGGGTAGAAAGGTGCTGAGGCAATATGTCACCAGTGGGCTGAATAGCCTCTATGTCATACTGGCAGGGTGTATTATAACCACAGAGCGGTCACATGTGGGTCTGAGGGCCAATCACCTAGTTACACCTCTCATTTCACTAATGACATTAGATATTTAAATTCAATTATTATTACAATTGTATTAACCATTTTAATATATTTCCAGTCCAGTTAATACAGTCTACAGTATAGACTTTGTGTGAGTGTGTGGGTTCTTAAAGTATCTGTTCTTGTGGACAGATGTGGTCTCAGAAATAACTCTGTAGTTGCAGAAAGTAAATCATAAATACTACATTAAATGGGAGTTAATCCATGTCCCCGCCTCCTTTGTTTCTTATTCCAAATCACATTATTATGACACATGATAACTTTAAAATATATTACGTTATTAGAACAGGTTGTATTTGTTCTTGTGTTAATAAGTTGAAATCCTCGACTTAGGGTTTAGTCCTGACATTTGCGGTCAAGGCAGTTGTCTTGTTTTCCATGATATGTCCCTTAGCAACAATTGAAACAGCCCTAATCAATCTCCTATAATGTTTTAAACAAGACAGGACCTTCTGAAAATTGAATTTACTGTCAAAATAGATTATGAAGACTGTGACCTCTAACCAAAGTAATTTATATAATTAATATTTAGAAAAAGATATAAGATAAAGCTGTATCTCACAAACAATATCAAGTATTTGCCAGTATTCTCAAACAAACTAACAGTATGCACAGAGATGCAGTGTAAAAGACAAACTGTTGGCATTTTTCCTCACTGTTGATTAAGAGCAATCCTAACCCTCATTTCCCCTCATACTTTCTTTGGCCACACATTGGTTATTTGTTTGTAGTTATTTTCTAATTGAGAGAGAGATATAAGATAGAGCTGAATATCAGATGCAACAGGGGAGAAACAACACAAAAACCACTTTTCAAAGTTGTAATGTTGATTAAGACCAATCATAACAAATGCATTTGAGCAATTTCCCTTTTAGTTCCTTTAAGGACACATGGGCTAAAGCTGATTTATTCCACATTTAATTAAAAAGCTATTGAAGTGGACTTGTTAGCGTTAGCACGATTAACTGTTCTCACCTTGTTGTGTTGGTCGTTCTTCCCTTGAAGGGAATCTGAGCGGCTCAACGTCTGGCATCCTGAAAGCTGTCCGATAGGAAAACACCTGTAATCCTCTTTAGGAACCGAGAAAAAGTTCAACACAACCTGAGAAATTTGGAGGGAAAAGAAAGCGCAATTTAAGTTTTTTATTTATTTACAGATTAGAAGTGAAAAAGTATTGTAATCCCTCGGACAAAGTTAGCTAACGTTAGTTCCAGTTGCAACTGATACTCCCTCTCATCTCGCACTGTTAGCTAACGGTAAATCGAAGGTTTAATTAACTTAGCTAATTATTTATTAATGGTCAGGGGGGGTAGTTGTCATGGCAGAAAGTGAAAGCGAAAAATGGCAGGCTATCAACTTACTCCCATGAATACACCTCTAAGTGCCAGCTTCCTGTTAGCTTTCTGAAAGTTTGTTGTCGTTTTCTTGTGGTAACGCTGCAGCCTACCTACCTATGTAAAAAGGAGCCTTCCAATAAAGTGTTCTACTCATGAGTCAACTGAAGTTGCTGTCAATCTTCTGCTGTGGTTGCTTAGCAACAAGGGGCTGAGCTTGGAGTTGCGTTCAAGAGCAGCAAGAAGGTACTTTTGTTAAGCAGCACTAACGTGTCCTACTCGTTTAAATGTGAAGTTAAATACATTTAGTTGAGAAATAGAGAAGAGAAGGAGGAGTAAAAGAACATACAAATTGCCTTAAAATGTATTCTGATTTGGGGACCATTTATGTGTGTCTTCCCCTTTGTCTAAATCTGTATAATACCACCATAATAATGCTAAATAATTTGTTTCCTAACTTGTTGGTGTAATAGCGATACACGGTATAGTCAAATATGTAATTTTCTATGCGAGAAGATAAATGACAAGATTATTCAAAAGCATATTATTCACAATAAATGTTTTTGATATAACAACAAGAGACCACTAATGTGGGAAGTGATATTGTAGCACTACTACACTGTATAATAGTAAAGTAATTTAATATTTAGACGAGAAAAAATCACAAAAATTATGAAAAAGCGCTGTATTTATCCAGTGGGTATAAGCGTATATCAATATAACCAGTAGGAGGCCATTAATGAGTGGAGTGATTTTGATAGACCGGCTTTACTTTAAGACAAGAAGGTTATTGAAGATTTGTGTAGTGTTTTCTGTGTTACACTTAGTGGACAGTCCCTGCAAACTTGTCTTTCCTCCGGTTGCAGATAGAGAGCAATGTTCTTACATTGCTCTCGGAGGACTTATTAATGAAAAATAGTTTGTTGCTCGTTGTCTACCTTACTTATTGTCAGGAGACTTTGTTGTATTTTAACAACAAGTTTAAGAGTTGGAGTCGTCAAGAACTAATAAATAACTACCTTTTAACCAAATTGATCTATAAAAACGAACCCTTTAAGAGGTTAAGGACACAATGTCCTTTTTTATTTTGTATTATGATTTGTGGATGCAAAACCTCTGCAGTCGAATGATTCTTTTATGTATAAATTTGTGTTCAGTGTTTTACAATCGAGAGAATTACGAGAAAGTAATGTGTCTTCAAGTAACATCTCAAAATATGATTAGTAGTAAATGCAATTCGTCGGATGAATGTTGTTTCCATTTACAACTTTAGATTGATTTATTTTATGTTGATGACGTCATTTCCCCAAAGCTACAAACCACTATTAAACCAGCGAATGGACGCATCTTTGTATGACCTCAATGTCAGTCGTACGTTAACTATCTATCTGTTGTTTACTAACGAATGCCTTATTTTAAAACATTTAAATAAAACTTAAACAATTTGCAGGTGCACACTGACGCAAATGTAGAGATTCCGCATTACGTCATCGCCAGTCCACACATTGGAGGCAAGTGCTGCCTCTGTTCTCCTCAACCAGTACGCTACCCGAAAATGTCCACAATACAAGCTTTTGCAGGAGAGCGGCACCAGATCTGCCGCTTCGTGCAGTGATGCAGCACCCTACACCAAAGAAACCCTGATCGCTCTGCACATACACGACCGGCTATCGGATCCCTGGATGGAAAATAGTGATGTTGCATGACATGCCTCGAAATAAATGGTGGTAAGTCGTGTGCAAGTGCGCTGTTGCAGCTGCTATGGAGTACTGCGACCTTAACCTACTTTGTCCCACTGGGGGAAATTAGTTACCCCGATCAAGTTTCAGCGATAACAAATGGGGATGTGCGAGGTTAGACACATCAGAAAAGGGGTCGTGTATGCTGGCAGATATTTGTGAAACAATGGGACCTTTGTGTCGCGAACACACAGGTGTCTCTGGAGTGAAAGGTGATGTCTGAGCTGAGTAGGTAGCCTACTATAATGTGCCTGTTGCCTTTATCGCTGTCCTTTTACCTGTGGACTGTAATGCCTTGGTGAAATGTAAAAGGTTTTCCTAATGTCAAGAGGGCAACTGGACACTTTTCTATTCCCAGGCTTACATCTCTTTTCAAGCTTGTGATTGAAATGCAAATGTAACTCCATTCCATCACACATTTGCACAAGAAAACCTTCCATTAAATCTTTGATTGCAATATTTTTGAAACTTTAAAGAAGTAACATAGTTTTAGTTTGTGCAGAGAAAACTCTATTGTAAACAAAATCACAGCAGAACCAGCAAACCGTAAATCTGTACTCTCATTCAACGTCAGGATCCTACAGTTTTGGCCTTTTTGAAGCTGAAACCATGGTGATCATCAGCAGGGGACAGAGAGCAGAGGGCCCTCCTGCAGATATCCCATGCTGGTACCAGATAGGAGGAGAAAGCAGTTTTACCTATACCTTCACAGCATTTACTACAACACTAAAGCACAACATGTCTGTGCTGAGCTCTAACTGATTAACCTTAAGTCAATGGCACAGGTCTTTTATTCCCGTCAGGGGATGGGATTCAGATGCCAGTGTAGTTTTTAGTATCATGATGTAAAAATAACTCCAGTGCTAACAGCTGCGATGTACCGAGCCGGCCAAACACAGATTGCTCTATAACTCAAGTAAGTGCTAGTTTTGGAAATGTTGCATGGCAATATGTTCCCAGTGGATCAAGGAAGATATAAATTAACAGCACTGTCCACTATGTTTTATTGCACTGCTACAGAAATAGACTCCTTATATAAATAACTGAATAATAAGGCATTTCTGTAGTTGAATATTTATCCCACAGAAGTTTGTGAAGCATTTAAAAGGTTGTTTTGGCAGTGCTCGGCCATACCAGTCTGAATGTTTATGGTATGCGATGATTTGTTCTTTTATGGGCAGTTATTTCCTAAAGCTGCCAATGTGACAGTGCCACAGAGAGAGAGTGATGTGAGCTGGGCACAAGCCAGGAATGAGGTTTGGGGTCTGCAACTAGAGAGCCAGTAAAGCCGTACAAGAATGTGGAGCCTTCTCATTTGTAGTTAAAGATAGAGACAGGACAAGCTGTATCCTAGCTGGTAGTTTCTAATTTCAGATATCTTCAGTCGTCCATTTGGGCTTCTTTTGTGGTAATGTTTCCTTGTTAGAAAAGAGTTATTGTTGTGTACGATTGTTTCTAGAAGGAGGACTTGGCTTTGTAATAACTTTCAAGCTCAGGCGTAGGAAAAGGAATACGAGAATGGTGCTTTATGAAAGGTATGTTGATGATCTTACTCCCCCTCAACACCGTACACTATGTGTTGGCTGTGCTGGTTTAATATCTGCTTTTGCGATAGATTGTATCCATCTCGTTATTTCTGAGACTGAAAACAGAGCCCAGAAGGTCACATATCTGGCACTCAGGATGTGTTTTGCTTGTGATGTGCAAAGAATATCAATGCTTATCCATGAAATAGTATATATTTGTACACATTCTCTCACTAATGAACAGGCTTTTAAATGTATTACTTTAAAGATGACATTATACATGCTGTTAGCGGTAATACATTGAGGTGCTTGTACTTTACTTAAGTATTTTCACATTACGCTATACTTTATACTTTTACTCCACTACATTTAGTAGGCAAATGTTGTACTTTTTACTCCACTACATTTATTTTACATATTTAGTTATTAGTTACTCTGCAGATTTAGGTGATACGAAATTAAAATCGACACTCATTATTATATATTATTATAAGTTAAGCTAATAAACACATAAATGCACCAACAATGTTAATAAAATAATTATAAAATATATTTTGCCTAAAATGTCTGAGCATAACAAGTCATTTTACTTTTGGTACTTAACGTATTTTTTTTATGATAATACTTTTACTTAAGTACAATTCTTAATGCAAGACTTTTACTTGTAACAGAGTATTTTTACACTGTAATATTGTTACTTTTACTTAAATCAATAATCTGAGTACTTCTTCTACCTCTGTCAGTTATTGCTTTGTATAAATCTAACAACCTTTTATCTAATTCAGACAATTTAAATTATTTTATTGATGTTTTGCTATTTCTTGTCATAATGATTATGTGGTTAATATTTGCCATAGTTTCTGCAATGCTGTGAGATGATTTCCTCAAACACAGCACTTGATTCGGTAATTCCAGGTCAATTGATAAGCTTAATCTTTTCCCTCTTAAAGTGGATTTCAGAGATTCCTATAGCTCCATAAATGACTGCCGATACTGACTGAACCAGAGGGGGGGGGGGAGAGTTTGCTGCTGCTGCTTGCTTTTTAACTCTAGGGGAATTCTAATTTCCACACCATGGGTTTCTTCAGCATAATATTTGGGTATACCAATTAATGTCATGTAAGTAATTTGAAATATGACGCCTGCATGATCGACTTTGCAGAAAGAGTGTTTTTGAAACCACTCGCCCAATAAGTGCCACTGTGCTCTCTCATCCCACCGCGCATTTATTGCACAAAAGATATTTACGAGTAAAAAAAACTCTTTAAACTTTGTGTGTGTGTGTGTGTGTGTGTGTGTGTGTGTGTGTGTGTGTGTGTGTGTGTGTGTGTGTGTGTGTGTGTGTGTGTGTGTGTGTGTGTGTGTGTGTGTGTGTGTGTGTGTGTGTGTGTGTGTGTGTGTGTGTGTGTGTGTGTGTGTGTGTGTGTGTGTGTGTGTGTGTGTGTGTGTGTGTGTGTGTGTGTGTGTGTGTGTGTGACTAGTACTATGTTTTTTTACGGACGGAGTGGCTGGGATCTTTGCTGCCATGGCAACAAACCACATGACTAGGTGTATTAGATTGCCTTGGACAGTGTGCAGCGAGGCATGGTGTGAGCTCTCTCTCTGCTACTCTGCCCCTTTGAAAGTCTTGTCCTTGTCTTACTTAAGTCTTTTTAGTATAGCCCCCCACCCTCCCTTACATGCATGTAAGCACTGCATTCAATTTGCAAATGTTCTTTTTAAAATAAACTGAAAAAGAGAGGTTCATTTGTATTATCCACGGCCTGATAAAGCTAAAATGGGGTCCTAGGGTTAAAATGTGTTGTGGGCCCCTGTTGTCCCACCATTTGGAATGTAATAGTTTGCTTTAAGTTATTTAATTAGGGATGAAATTCACAATG